ATCTGTAAGGAGGATAAGAAAGAGTACTTTTCATGTCGTCGTCTGTGAAAGGTGATGTGCTTTAGGTAACGAAGTGCACACTATTGGTAAAGTGAACGCTGACGTTTAAATCATGTTCTCGATTGAATAGCCCTAAAAGCATAAAAAAGGCCTAAAAAGAAAAGAGGTGGTGAGGATTTAGGGAGAGAAGCAAGCAAGGTAGCAAAGAATGAGGGAAGGATGGAGGGAGAGAAAGAATGAAGGAAGGAGAAGTAAATGGATGGGAGGAAGAGGGAGCTTAGGGTCGAGATGGCAGTTAGATCGAGTCTCTGTTAAAGCGCAACAGAGCTCTTTGCGATGTTTTCCCTGAAAAAAGTTTTTGAACATACATTTTAAGTAACACTGATCTTACCAATAACTTTTAGATGAAAAATGGCGGTAGCCAGAAGCATGGAAGGGTATTTTTTAAAGAGAGAAACACGGTACTCTCCAGAGTGAATTGGTAAGGCATTGAATACATAAAGTTCTGTAGCGTCCGGTGAAATTTGATAATGCTCGTTTTCGTACAAGGGTTCGAAATTTTTCTCCCATTGGATTGTTATGTCAGAAATGTCGCCAAAAATCTTTGTCTTAAGGGAAGCTGTACGGCCAACGCAGACTTCAGGTGAGCTATCGATTGGCAAAATGTCGTAGTACCCTGTATTGAAAAAAAACAAACAAACAAAAAATTATGTGGCGGGATTTGTGGTCTTAAGAATGATTACTCTATGACCTTCGCATTTAACCCTGAAAGGGATGATTTGTTTGTTTGCGTAGTGCAAAAATATTTCTCTTTTTGTTTTAATCGGTTGTTTTGAATTAAGTGCCGGTGGTAAGGACTTTGCCAAGTTTATATTACTATGTCTAGTTACACGACTATGTTGCTGACTGTTGAGTCATAAGTAGTCTTCAATATAGAAGGAAAATACACCCTTGATGCGTTTGTTTGTCACACAACATTTAGCTATTTTCACTACTTCCTGAGAAGGAAGCCACTGTAGACTATTAAAAAGCGTAACACTAGACGCCTGGTTATTAGCGTCGAAAATTACCCTCGCTGCTTTTTTTTGGTAGCTTAAAAGCAAGGCCTAAACTTTCCTTATCACAACTAGTCCAAATTGAACTGACATAATGCAGTACAGATCTTATCATAGTATTATAATACAACAGCCTTTGTTTCATGGGCAGGCAAGATCTTATCTTTTTCAATACGTCAATTCTCTGAGACAACTTTTTACAAAGTTTCTTCAAATGGGAAGTAAATGAGAGTTCAGAGTCAATTTCGAGACCTAGCAGCTTAACACTGGTAACGAGTTTGAGTTCAGTTCCTTTAATAGTTAGAGTCATTTTTTCATTGATCTTTGAGGGGAGACGCGTGTCAGTGATGAGCCTTGGTTTTGCCTTCATTAATTGGAAGTTTGTTCGAAGCTGCCTAATCGACGATTTCGGCAATTGACGAGTTTAAGGTACCCTTTAGCCCTCCGTAAAATGTCTTTTTGTTTCCCAGATCAACACAACTCTAGCTTCACACTAAGCAGCGGTTTTGATAAAATCAACCTCCAGAATCCAGGCCTAATAGTGTTTTCCCGATTTACTGAGGGGCATGGTGAAGTTTAAAAATTCCTTATGTTAGTAGGGTTTACTAGCTCAAGCGAAAAGACGGTCTAAAGGTCAAATGCACGGCACATTTTAATGCAACATGTGTAAGATGTTTTGAAGGAGCTGTACAAACGCGCGCCACATCTTGCAACATCCAAAAATGTAGCAACAAATATTTGAAAATTTTTAAACTTTACCCAACACCATCCAACATGTTGCAACATGTTGCTACACCGGATGCCACAGGGTGGCCCAAAGTGTGCAATACGTCGCCTGCAACAATGTTGCAAGATGTTGCTTTGAAATTTTGCCTGTGTTTGGCCGGGCTTTAATGGTTTATGCTGTTGACTCTGCCCTTTATAAGCCATAGTAAGTAGTATCAACTGTTTTTCATTTTAAGGTGAATATTGTTCAGGCGAATCGCAAAGAGTGGTCATCGAAATAGAAGTGAAGGTTGGGGGAGGGGTAATTTGCAACGTACATTTCAGAAGCCTTCCCGCTAGGGGGTAGATTCCTTGCAGTTTCCTCGTAGTTTCCTTGGTATTTTGTCATTATCATTATTATTATTATTATTATTATTATTATTATTATTGTTATTATTAAATGAGTGCTCACAATGGTCGGTAATTTCTCGAGCACAGAGCAAATGAAGAATATCCGACTCTCACTTAAAGTCATTTATTCAAATAAAAATAAACTGCATCGCATGTAAAATGATGATTCATAGCGTAAGTAAAGTCTCTTCATGAAAGCCCAAGGATGACTGGACAAACTGACCTAAAATTAATAAGACGTCTCGCATCCTTTAAATTGGAAAGGAGATAATTACATAATGCAGTTTTCATCTCTCTGAAAAAGCATTCGTTGCATTCACCAGTAGTAATTTAAGTTCTGCCTGCAATTGAAAAGTGGTGATACCATTTCTAAAGTTACACTATTTACACTAACCTATAAGTAAGTACGAAAGGTTTTTTCTCACCTTTACAC